TGGTGGAAGTGATGATGAGGTCATGGTGAAGTGATGATGAGGTCATGGTGAAGTGATGGTGAAGTGATGGTGAGGTGATGGTGAAGTGATGGTGAAGTGATGGTGAGGTCATGGTGAGGTGATGGTGAGGTGATAGTGAAGTGATGGTGAGGTGATGGTGAATGAGTAGGAGAGAAAGAATGGGGATAAGGAGACAGCCAGGAAGCAACGGTGAACGTGAATGAGTGTATGTGAGAGTGACCAGTAATACCTGTGTTGTGAATGAATGAATGAATGAATGAATGAATGAATGAATGAATGAATGAATGAATGAAGATAAAATATATAAGTGTATTTCTTCTTGTTCTCTGATGGTTGTTTGTTTATGAAAGGTGAAATAGGGAGAATAAATTACTGTTAATATATTGTTGTATTTTTGTTTTCCATAATTATAGTCAATTAATACTGATTACTGTGTAGCAGGTGTAGATAGTCCCTCTGATGGTGATCTCTCTCTCTCTCTCTCTCTCTCTCTCTCTCTCTCTCACTTTCTCTCTCTCTCGCCAGCATTTTCACTCCTCCGAATAATCACCGTGAAATTGTGTGCGTGTGTGTGTGTGTGACAGCCCCTCCAGGTGTGACAAATATCAACAAAGGTGTCAGCTGTTCCTTTTTCCTCCAGTAACTTACAAACATGTTTAATAACACTCGTAATGTTTATGTTTACAGAGTTCCTTGATGTTTGTGTTTACGTAATACCTTAATATTTGTGTTTACAGAGCCCCTTGAAGTGTTTATTACTTTACTGTACATAGAGGTAATTGCATATCACCTCAAACTAACAAGCTATAATTGCACTAATTTCAACAAGTACATCAAGGTTTGGCAAATCATGAAACGATCCATCACGTGCATTGGTAATTTCGATAGTGGTATCAGATGCAAAGATAAACAGACTGGCAAGACGTTCAAGTATAGGAGGGGAGGGGAGTAGACGCGGGGGCGGTCCCTATCACCGCCATCTATGAGACAGAGGCGGCACTATTGCCCTCATGAGTGACGCTGCCAGACATAAAATGATTCCTGAATTTTTACTGTTCTTATCTAGCTCGAGGCACCACCTTTATTTACATTGAGAAATTAGGTCAAAATACAGTAAATAATGATACAATTTCATTATGGAGATGATTGTATCTGCTGTATTTACTGTACTGTACACCTGTTGTAAAAATTTGTACATGTATCGCTGTATCCAAATGTTTTAAATAATAAGGTAGAGACTCTTCCTATGTAACCACCATCTTCTTGCTAGTGTTTACAAATTTACGATAGTTTTACACACACATATTTTTTTACCGCACTCTTTAAGTTACTAGACCTACTACAAACGACTGGTGACAACACAAGTTGGCAGAAGTATTGAAAATCATTACCAGACGACTTGAAAACGACACTTTGAGTGAATTTTCGACGACGAGTAAGAGGAAACCAACCAGCCACGACAACAACAACATGACACTTGCCGTGAAAATTTAATTACGTCGAGAGCTTCAGCACACAGTAGTAGTGGTGGTGGTTGTTGTTATTTTATCTACAGGTAAATATAAAAGTTTTATTTAAGTTATACATACTGTAGTCATAGAGATAAACTTACATACGGTTTTATACATGCAAAATATATATAAACATTCGAAAGTGTGTGTGTGTAATCAACGTATTAGAGAAATATATATATAAGTAATTAGTCAGATCTAAAGCTCACTCGCTAGAGCCAATCAGACACAAGTGAACTCCAATTCCGAGTTTTTCATTGGTCAGGGATTATCTGATGGACACCCCCTCCCCACCACCCAACACTGACCCTCCTGACGCCTCTCTCTCTCTCTCTCTCTCTCTCTCTGACAGGAGAGGGGCGGGGAGGTGCTGGGCCTGCTCCCTCCCTCGCGTTAATGCATTAAAACAATAGAAAACGAGAAGCGGGGCGTAAAAAATGGGAAGAAGGAGCTAATGTTTCTTATTGAATACCTACCCTGGCTTTTAGCGTGGGAGAGTGAGAGGGGGGAGGAGAGTGCTGAGATAACTGGGTGAGAGTGTGTGGGAGAGTGAGAGAGTGTGGGAGAGTGAGAGGGAGGGAGGAGAGTGAGTTTAAGTGTGGGAGAGTGAGAGTGTGTGGGAGAGTGAGAGAGTGTGGGAGAGAGTGTGGGAGAGTGAGTGTGGGGTGTGGGAGAGGCAGGGAGTGAGAGAGTGGAGAGGAGTAAGTGTGGGAGAGTGAGAGAGTGTGGGAGAGTGAGAGAGTGGGGAGAGTGAGTGTGGGTGTGGAGAGTGAGAGAGTGTGGGAGAGTGAGAGGGAGGAGGAGAGTGAGTTTAAGTGTGGGAGAGTGAGAGTGTGTGGGAGAGTGAGAGAGTGTGGGAGAATGAGTTTAAGTGTGGGAGAGTGAGAGTGTGTGAGAGAGTGAGAGAGTGTGGGAGAGTGAGTGTAAGTGTGGGAGAGTGAGAGAGTGTGGGAGAGTGAGTGTAAGTGTGGGAGAATGAGTGAGAATGACATAGGTAATAATGAAATGAGGTGGAAAAAGTGAAGTGTTTGTGTGTGTGTGTGTGGAAGAAGGGTAGAAGAAGAAGGAAGAGGAGGAGGAGAAGGAGGAGTAGGGGGAGGAAAGGATGAAAGATGGAAGTAATAAACGATCACACACATACACACACACATACACATACACATACACACACATACTACAACCTCTCTTTATTGTCACCTATTTCACACCTCTTTCCACTTATTCCCCTCAACTATCATAAACCACTCGTTCCTGTCACTCGTGTTTGTCTGTGTGTGAGTGTATCTGACGGCACAACTTGGTCATATTTGTCGTGAATTCCTTCCACACACACACACCCCACCACACCACACCACACCACACCACACCACACCCCCACCCACACCACACCTCCCACCCATATCCCTATACGACCACACTCAGCCCGCGGTAATGCTGACAACAACCTGAGTGCCGTATCTGCTAGTCTGACCCTGATCCGATCATAGATGACCCTCCTCCTCTCCCCATTCCCTGTGTTGGACTACCTTATACCCCACCCCCTGTGCCAGAATACATTATACCTCACCCCGTATGCCAGAATACATCAATCCCATTCCCTGTCTTCAACCCCTATTAGTTCCTTAAAAAGCTTATAGTTCTTTAAAAAGCTTAGTTACTTAAACAGCTTAGTTACGTGAAAAGCTGAGTTACTTGAAAATCTTAGTTACTTAAAAAGGAAGGAAGGAAGGAAGGAAGGAGGGAAGGACCACAAAAATAATACGTTTGGTTATCTTATCATGTGAAGGAACATGATAAAAAAATAATCAACAATACAAAGCAAGTTGATTGGTGGAGAGACGAAGTGAGGGAACAGCAGCAATATGAGGAGGAGGAGTATGAGTGTTGTGAGGAAGGGTAGCTCTCCTCCTCCTCCTCCTCACTGTCTCCTCAAATAGCAACAACCCCTCACTCTCTCTCCCTCCTTCTCTCCCTCCCTAACATACCTACGTCATTTATCCCCCTGTACCCTCCCTTCTCAGACCCTACCCCCTGTACCTCCTCAGACCACCTCCCTCTGTACCCTCCCTTCCCTCAGACCCTACCCCCCTCTGTACCCTCCCTTCCCCTCAGACCCTACCCCCTCTGTACCCTCCCTTCCCTCAGACCCTACCCTCCCTGTCCTACTCTCAGCGTATGATCGATATGGGGGTCGCAGTATAATAGGACTTGATTCCTCTTGCAACAAAGGGGAAGGTAATCTCATTTTCACGACTAAACAGCAGCTCCTCGAGGCAATAACCCGATCCTATTCATTAAAGGAAGCCAATATATTTTAATCCTCGACTTGTGCCTTGGAAAAGTCCCACTCTGGAAATCAATTTGGTTGTGTGGGATTCCGCGGGGCGAGCGACCTGGCGCTCTGGGTCTTCACTTTCCAAGCCTGTTGCTCTATACTCCCTGGGGGCCCTCTTGCCTCCTCCACCCTCTACTGGGGCCCTCCTGCTGCCTCCACCCTCTACTGGGGTCCTCCTGCTGCTTCCACCCTCTACTGGGGCCCTGCTACCCCCACCTTCTCCAGGGAGACCTCTTGCCACCACCTTCTTCAAGGGGCGTTCCTACCCCCACCCAACACATAGGAAGGCCTTTGTCACCCCACCCTCCGCTCTATCACCACCCACTTCGCTGCTCCTTGCTTCCAACTAGAGGAACCACCCCCCCACCCTCTCTCTCTCTCCTCCCTATTCCCACCTGGGCTACTCTCATGACCCATCTACCCACTTCTCTCCCTACACCCCCCCCACCCCTGCCTCCACACCGAGAGTTGTAGTATAAGTGATGACCTCGTGATGACCTCGTGATAACCTCGTGATGACCTCGTGATAACCTCGTGATGACCTCGTGGACATTATTACAAGTTAACTTTATTTACACTGATCATGTAATTTAATAAGTAAAAAATAACATAGGAGAATTAACAAGAAAAAAGGTAAAGGAAAGGTTATAAGGCTGTCATACTCGATGTGTGTTTAAGGTGGACCTTGGGAAGCCTCAAAGTGAAGTGTTATGAAGTGTTGTAATCAATCTCAAAATTAGTTAAAAGCCAACAACAACAACAACAACAATAACAACAACAACAACAACAACAACAACAACAATAACAACAACAACAACAACAACAACAACAACAACAATAACAACAACAACAACAACAACAACAACAATAACAATCCACAATATACAATTAATGTTTAGAGATTTTGAAATAAGACTCAGAATATCAAAAACACAACAACAACAACAACAACCACTACTACCACCACCACCAGCAACACCACCACTACCACTACCACCACTATCACAACCACCACCAACAACACCACCACTACCACTACCACCACTACCACAACCACCGCCAGCAACACCACCACTACCACTACCACCACAACCACAACCACCACCAACAACCACAACAACCACAACCACTAC